CCCCCCCAGCTCTGTTCCTCACCCTGAGGGTCCCAGGCAGTGGTCCCGGTGTGCCCGGTGCCAGCCCGGACACATACTCACGGGTTTTAGGGAAGCCAAGGCAGGGCAACCCGCCAGCCCACGTCCATCTGTGCCGCTCCGTGCTCCCTGTGGTTTTGCCTCCTGCCCTCACCCTGCGACGCTCCGCCGGGCAGAAATAGCCCCAAAACACGTGCTGCCTTCCGGGAAGGGATGCCAGGGGCTGAGCAACCCCAGCATCCCGGGCACGGCCCTCCCTCGGGGTTGGGGGGTCCCACTAGCAGCGGTGGCACTCCAGGGTCCAGCTTGGCACGGTGTCAGGGCACAGTCCAGTAACAGCTCCGGCGAGGAGCATCTCCATTTATCCACCAAGATAATAAATTCTGCCTCGGAGTTTCTCACCTGGCAACAGTCACCAAGGAAACCCGGACGGCGGCTGCAGGTCCCTGCTGGCACCGCGTGGGGGGGTCCCCACAGGCTGGCAGAGGGTCTGGGGGCCGTACCCCAGCCCGGCCGGCTGCCTGGGCAAGGGGCCAGTAGCCCGTCTGTAAGCTGAGCCCCCGCTTGGCAAAACGCCCTTGGCTCCAGGCTTGGCCCTCACACCACTTTGCCGGAGCCCAGTGTGGGTTTCGCCAGATTTGGGGTGAAATTTCACCAGTTTTGAAGGTTTTCCCTCAAAACAGTTGAGCCCTGCCTGTGTGCATTGGGAGGGGTGACCTGGAGCTGCCACAGGCACCCAAGGCGGGGGGGTTCCCCCCGTCCATTTTCGACACAAAAGCAGCTCAGAGAGCTCTAGAAACCTGTTGGTGCCGGAGGGAGACCGGCTGTCACAGCCCCTCCAGGGCCACGTGGCACCTCCTTATTTATAGCACTTGTGGTCATGTCTCTTCCTGTCCCCTGCCCGTGCCACCCCTCGGCACGGAGACAGGCATTGATGCTGCCAGCAAGTCATTTCATAGAAACATAGAATCCTCTAGGTTGAAAGGGACCTTAAAGATCATCTAGATCATCATTTCAGCCCTGGTACGGCTAATTCTCCAAAAGTCTTCCCAGCCCCGTGCCACCTGTGATTCCAGGGCTGCCCATGGTCCCGGCAGGCCACCAGTGAGTGGGAAAGGCCATCGGGCTGGGGACAGGGCTGTGCCCCTGGGGCAGCCTAAGACAGGTGGGGTACAGCCACCACCAAGGGCGTGGGGGTGAACAGTTGCCCCAAGTGTTGTTGGAGGTGGCTGCAATGTTGGGATGGAAACTTTCTCCATCAATCATTAACCACAGCGTGGCTCTGGGGCAGCTCCCTCGCCCATGGGTGCGTGCTGAGCTTCCCAGCAGCATGTGGGGCTGGAGCAAGGGACTGTGCCCGGCGTGGGCTCATACACCCAGGGCCACCCCAGAGGTGTGGGACCCCTGGTAGCAGTTGGGCATCCTGGGCTTGCACACCCAGGGCCACCCCAGAGGTGTGGGACAACTAGCATCATCTGGGCATCCTTGGCTTGCACCCCTAGGACCACCCCAGAGGTGTGGGACCCCTGGCATCATCTGGGCATCCTTGGCTTGCACCC